GACTCGGCGAATGGAAGCCAAGCGCCAGAGAGTGTGCTGGAAATGTTTTGATAAGGCACATGGATTGAGATTCTGCACAGCAATGGGATCTTGTCCAAAATGCCAGGAGGATCACCAGTCCTCACTCTGCATAAGAACTAGCAGTGGTCTAATCTATGAACCTGCCTAATCGTAGGCAAAACCCACCGCCCAACTCCACTCAGCATTGAACTGCAAGGACGCCGTTTCCGTCGCAAACTTCTACTGCTTCAGACAGCCAACACCAAGAATTAATAATCGTTTGAGAGAAACAAACAGAGTGCAAACATTGCATGCTGCCCCTATTCGGAACGTCGCTACAGAATCGGAACGAACGGTATCTGGACAATGCGTACTGCAAATGGCCTCTGCTATGAACCTCAATGAAACCAGCGGGGATTATCAACCAATCACCATTCTTCCTGATTCAGGAGCTCAGAAAAGCTTCATAAAGGCGGACATGAGAAACAGATTGAGGCTGCCAACAATAAGCTCCACATCATTTATCACAACAGAAATGGGAGAGCTTCAAGAAACCTTCAAATCGAATGAAGTGAAAGTGACCTTGGAAGGCTTACGCAGCTCGAGGAAACTGCAATATCTGTCGGTTTTCACCAAGGAGAAACTGACATCGACTACCAAAACCGCTCTACTAACGGAAGCTGACAAAAGCTTCATTAAAAGGGAGAAAATCATGGTCGCTCAGCAAACCTTACGCCCGTCAGAAGTTCTACCTGATTTACTCATTGGACAGGACCTCTTAAATCAAGTGATCGAACACCACAACCCAGTTATAAAGCTACCATCCGGATTAGTCCTCACACCCACAATCTTCGGGTACACAATCTCAGAACTAGCAGCATACTCAATTCAATGAAGCATGTTAGAGATGTACAATGTGGGTCGCTCATTGTGGCTACTCCTCTTATATCATCAAAAGACTACTCGAAAACGGACAAGAATGTCTGTGGAGCGGAAGCACTTCGTGCCAACATCCGAGAGCCTACTCCTACTTGCCCTTTCGCTGCAAAAGTACGTCAAAAGCGGGGAAAAAGAAAGGGGCTGTAAGTCCACCAAGAACGACCTTGCGACCCCTATTAGTATTGCAGAATGATGAGGACGTCTTCTCGAGTAAGAACGCTCGTTACATGTTCCATGCTTTACTGAATTGCGTGAGCGATATCAAGTGGAAGCTGAATCAGATGGAGGACCGCTTACGACGACTCGATGAAAGGATGCATACACTGGATCTAAGGACGAAACAAGTGCCTCAGACAGAAGTGTTTCGACCAGGAGCACCTCACTGCCCTACCGTCCCGACGACACGATGTTGTTATATGATTGGACACCAGGCAACGGACGGCCAAACTTGGAGCACCATACTTCAAGCGTCAACAGGGAGAATAGCTCAGAAACCAATCAATCGACCTATTCCTCTGGAAATACACTCTTCATCACACGACCAAAATGACGAATCTCCAACATATAGAGCAAGAGCCACTACTTCAAGGAAACCGTCTTCATCATCAAGGAAGAAAGCTGACGTTCCCGTGAGACGTCAGACACCAAGAGCTGCAAAGAAACAAGTTCTTCTCAACACCAGCGTCTCCAGCTAACGACGAGTCTGCAAACGACAGCCATTCGTAAATAATAAAATTTGTATTATAATAACTAATGTTGTTGTCACATAGTTAATTTGGTACTCGATTGTCTGATATTGTAATTGTATTGTACAATAGGTTTTACGTAGGCAATACTGTTAATAAGCACATCAATGTAGCTACCGCTACATTTCGCCCCGCCCCACTGTTGTGGTTTCACAACCATATATATATATGTGTATGTTTACAATAGAACTAGCCTTTACAAGAATTATGGATAACTTGCTAGTCCAACATATTAACCATAGGCATAACTTGACATGAGTATCTCTTGAGTTGAGACCACAGGCATGACCTGGCGGTATCATAATTGTGCAATCAAGTAGGTAGCTTAAGTTCTGCCGATGGCGCGGTCCACTCTTTCATCCACGGGCCCCCTAAGGTCCATTGGCGATACGGTATCTGAGGACCGCCCACACATTGTGTATATAAACCCCGTGAATGTTATATTATGGTCGATCTTTGTACTAGGCGTCGTAATAAACCTTTGTTACACGTCCTAAATACAATTTTCCATTGGTAATCCACCAAAATTACCCAAAATTCGTGAACTGTGCCTTCAATCAGTATGTAACTCTTCTTCTCTACCATTTTCTTCCCTGCCCTTTTCGCTTTTTTTTCAGTCTCTGTCAACAATCGCCTAAAGTCTCTTCACATCCAACACCACCTACTAAAGTGCCAAACCTTCACTGTCAATGCGAAGGAGGTAACGGATTCTGCGCCCCTTGCTATCTGAGGCTTCTTAACACCTCCTATCAAGTGCTATCGCTTTCTACTACCTCCCATCAGAGCTCACTTCTTCCGTTCCCATCCGCCACCTGTACTATTAGGGTGTTCGAAGAGGTTTGAGAAAATTTTGCCTCTCAACTCTGAAAGCATGTTGATGGCGAACGCGCTATGAAGCTTCGTAGATTCGACAGTAGGAGAGGGAAGTTGTTGATTGATCGGTATTTGACGTGGTCGTTCGAAGTAGGTAATCGTCGACCAAATGATGTGCCATCGATCAGACTATCGCAGCATTCTGCTTCACCATTATGAAACTAATCGTTTCGACACTCAGGCTTGGAATGAGATGCGGCAACTGATAGGCAGCAGACACCTTCTCTTGTTACCTACCATGCACGGCACGATCTCTTCTTCTGGGG